ATGAGTAAAGGGCCAATTAATTGCTCTTCTCTTTCATCGTTTTGCATTTTGTCATCCCAGACATACCCCTACTCTTACTCCTACTCCACTAAGAACCTAAACGTAAATTCAAATCTGAGTAGTGCGGATCACGCCCCCTATTTTACGCTTCAACGCCACGAAACACATTCATGATTCAAACAACGTTAAGCTTCACGCAAAGGAAAGGGGGCCCCAACCAACAGGCACGATACTTCCCCCCTTGGCCAAGTTGAAGTGACATAAATATTCCCTCGCCACCCCCGTCAGTCGGAGTGTGCGCCACCAACCCTTCTTCATCCCCCCCGACTTGTTTCATTTGTTTCCTTTCCTTTTCACCAGAAATAGTGCAAAAATTTATCTCATTTTCATTTTTGACTCCATGGTCTTCGTAACAGCCTGCCCGGCTGGGCAGCCTAAGGTCCCGGCAAGATCTCCAAGCTTCAACGATCTTATCAGTTTTTTTTTTTTTTTTTTTTTTTTTGTTGGTTTCTCGTCCGGTATCTGAGGTTTCGCCTCGACTAATCCGGACTCGACCAGCGTTGCGCACCTAGAAATGGTAGGTGAGTCTCTCAACGAGAGCCGCTGCATTCACAAAGTCTTAAACTCGAAACCTTACTTAAACTCAACAAGCAGCTTACCACTTGATCTTATCAGTTTTATTACAAAATGTTTCTTTCAAGCTGTACTACACTAAAAAAATATCATTTTAGATTTTAAAAAAGACAAATATTATTTTTACTTTAACTTTATAATTGTCTAGATTTGTATAAGAGACAGATAGTAAATTGATTACAATTGAAATTTTTTTTATATGTAGTTCTTGTTAAGTATTTTTATTTAAATTAAAATTTTTTAATTTTTATTTATTTATTATAAAAAATTATCAAGTTAATTTATATAAAGTTAAAGATTTGTAACAACTAAAAAAATACTAAATGCAACAATAGAGAATGGTTTCTTTTAGACAAGAATTCTTTAAAAAAAAATGTAGTTTGAATTAACAAAAAAATAAGAATGTTGTAGTTTATTTTGTGCAATATGTATTAGTTTTATTTATTGATGAGCGAGTGGTTTCTTTT